TTAAAACAGCTTATAAGCTAAAAAAAAAGCATCCCTACCCCAACTTTTAACTTTTGGCTTAAAATAAGTTTTTTTTAACTTAAAATAAGTTATTTTGAGTATTGTCAAACAGCTAAATAAGTCAAAAACCAGCTTTTAAGTCAGTTTGACCAGCTTTTAAGCTGAACCAAACAGACTTTAAGGACCCGCTTGGATGGGCTTAATAAAAGCAACTTTAAAAAAGTACTTTTAAAAGTGCTGAAACTTATTTTTAAAATAAGCAGTTATATGTTAGGATAAAAGTGCTGAAGTTGTTTTGTCAAATGTGAAAAGGGAAAAATGGAAGAAAGAAATCTTAGGGTTATATGGGTAATTTGGAGATTGTATAAAAATATTAAGGGCAAAAAGATAAAAATGTGGTCAACTTAAAACAGCTTATAAGCTGGAAAAAAACACCCCTACCCCAGCTTTAAACTTTTGGTTTAAAATAAATTTTTTTTTAACTTAAAATAAGTTATTTTGAGTATTGTCAAACAGCTAAATAAGTCAGTTTGACCAGCTTTTAAGCTGAGCCAAGCAGGCTTTAAGTCTCTTTCTCTGTGTGAATGCATAGCTGTAGCCTGTATGTGGTTGTTGATGCATTATGTATTCAGTAATCAGTGAAGTTCTTCTGCCTGGTTTTATCGTAAACTCAACTCTTCATCGACGTACACACTTGGTTCAATCCTTCTCTGTTGCTTTCCTTTACTGGTTCTATGTGTTTTCATGAACATAAATTAAACTTCCTTATATAGTTCTTCAGTTGTAATTAGTTTTATTAGTATCTTTTTTCCTATATGTACTGGTTCTTCAAATGAGTTTCGAATACTGAATGATATATAGAAAGTTATGGCTTCTTCAAATGTACTGAAGATGAAAGAAAACGTAAAAGAATGATATCAAACAGCAGGAAGATGAAAAATGAAGAAACACAAGTATTTGGATGAGTTATTGGCTCAAATGAATCTACTCGAGGAGGAAAATAATCAAATGTGATTAACATAAATATGGTTTATCAGCTTTACTTAAACATGGAAGCAGAGAACTCTGTTGTCAAAGCTCAGATAGTTGGGTTAAGTCACAGGCTGCAGTGTGCTGAAGAAATCATTAACTGCAATAATGTTAATGGTGGAGATGATTTCTTGAAAACTTGGGATTTTGCTCCATGGGAATCAGAGCCGATAACAACTAACAACATATCTAGTATAATTCATAAGCGATGTCCGGGAGAATGACGTGTATATATCATGCTTGAATTATTTGCAAAAATAATTTTAAATATGATCGAGATATTAATATAAAACAATCTAGGCCTAATCTATGACTAAAGAAACACTAGATAATAATTTCAAACGTCACTGATCATTCATGTTATCTTCTACGGATGAACCTCTGTATTTTTCTCCATCTATTTTTACTTGTTCATTATATTTTTTTTAAAAAAATTATTTTATATGTTCAAATTAAAAAAACAAAAAGGCAATTTTATATTTTATATATTTATCAAGTACAAAGAAAGGGCAATTTTCAAATGTTGTGATACTATATAGTATATGTATACTCACGAAAATAATTTGTGATACCTCATCCATTAGATAGTGCCACGTAGAGTTTAGATCACTGAAAATAAAAAGGAAATTTAAATAACAAAAAGAAGAGTAGAGGTTTTGGTTTATTAAAACTTAAAAAGTATGACTTAGAAATCTTGCACGTCTTTAATATTTACTACTTTAATTTACTCGAAGGGTTTGTGACATGATAATCTTTTTAAAGATTCATAAAGTAAGTGGAACAATTTTATTTATATTTTGTTTAAAATATTTGTAAACAAAATATGAATTGTTTCGCAATTGATTTTGTGAACAAATATGAAGTCAACCTAAACCCAACATATTGGAAAGTAACTTTTAAAAAATCATGAAGAAACTTTTGATTTTGTGCTTTGATAATATATCCCTTCGATAATAACGTTAATTATGGAGGAGATATGAGCAAGAGTAGGTCCATGTCCTTTGAATTATTTTTTATGATTTAAAATGACATTATAGTATACATCAATGAAGATTAATTCGGTGTGATTTATTTACGATTAGACTTGAATTTATGATTCTCTACTCAAATAACACAAGCAAATACTTGATTGAAAAGGTTCTTGGGAGTGTGGGTGTTACAATCGATATTGATCTAATTAATGATAATTTTTTTATAACAATTAAATCGCTATATTTTGGGGGCACTCATAAACCTAAATGTTATTTTAAAGCAAAGCACATTAACATTAATTAAGTATAATTTTATGAAAGAAACATGATTGCTTGCTAACAAGTGAACGTAAATGCACAGAACAAAAGGTTGCAAATTCATTAACTCACTCAGTTCCTAAAAATGCATTTGTTGTGAATACAAGATCTTTTAATTAGTGCATTTATTTGATGTCATTGAAGGAATTGTATTGAAATGTTAAGGGAATACATGGAGATATATATAGGAGATATAGGAAGGAGTACTAATCCTAATAGGACTAGGATTAAGGAGTACTAATTCTAATAGGACTAGGATTAGTACACAGTAAATACTAATATTATTTTATACTATTTATTTAATACTATCTGTTATTATCCCCCCTCAAGCTGAGCTGAGCGGAACCGAACGGAAGCTTGGAACTGAGGTAATCGTGTTGTCGGCTCGGGAGAGGCTTGGTGAGAATATCAGCCGGTTGTTCTTCAGT